AGGGCTGCTATACTAGGTAAAGACATTTTTTCCCCTAACTTACTATACGAAAATTAAGTCATATCTAACTGATCGTTATTTTTAAGTACATTTTAAATCTGCATACTCCAATATAGCAAACATCAGAGCTGATGTTCCACAGGGAGGCATYCTTTCCCTAATACTGTATAACTTATATGCTTCTGATCAACCAACCTCCATCAACACTATTGTGGCAGACTATGCAGATGACAAACTTATCATATCTATAAATGAAAACCCTATTGTAGCATCGCTTAATCTACGAAATCATCTTTCCCTTATGGAAACCTTGTATAAAAATTGGAGGATTAAGGTAAATCAAACCAGATCTAATCACACAACTTTTACCCTTAAGCTAGGGCACTGTCTGCCAGTCTCTCTCTATAGCACTTAAATTCTGTCTTGACTTAACCCTTGACCGCAGACTAACATAGGTCCCACATACATGTGTAAAAAGACTTAAACTAAATCTGCTRCTTCGTATGCTTAAATCTTAACTAATCAATAACAAACACACCAACCTTAATATAAAACTACTAATGTATAAATCCTTCATTAAACCCATATGGACCTATGGTCTCCAACTCTGGGGAAATGCAAAAAATCAAAAACAAATCGTTTTCAGGCTTTTCAAAATATTGCATTAAGAAAATAAATTAAATCTCCATCTTATGTTCTAACAATACACTTCACACAGACCTGAAAATCAAAACTGTAAAAGAAGAAGTAGTCACTTATTATAAAAGATTCCATAATCGGCTTGCAACTTATTCCAGTCCTTTAATCAAAGCTCTTTCAGTAAATATTATTGCGGGTAATCCTCCAAGGCGTTTAAAACGCAACTGGTGTAGATATACATATGCTAACTTAATATTATAATATAAAAAAAAAACAAATAAACAAATTCATATATATAGGTATCTGGTATATATATAAATTAATGTATAACCTCAATTTAAGTGTCATCAGTGGGTGGCTGCTTTTATCAAGCTTATTCATGTATTTTTATTTACCTTAGCTAATACACTTATTGTACCCATGAGGTACAGATTGTGTATATAATAATAAAGYAAAAAAACTTATTTATCATGCCTTTCAGTTACATCTTGTAAGTTATTGTCGTTAACCGTTATATCCCAATAATAAATGCAATGTTAAGAATAGTAGAATAGTTATTTAAATAGTAAATATAATTATAGAAATGTGAGTCGAGTTATCTGACACTGTTCCCGTTTAGGATCGTAATTTATTGTAATGATCAAAATGTTATTGAAATAAAATTTAACACTTCCATAACTACAACAGTGATCTAATAAATTACTCGAGCCAGTAGAGTAAATTTTTCACAATTTATAAATGAGAATTTAATCATTTTTAATTTATAATTCTATTTCGTGCAATAAATTTCCATAGATTTTACAAACAAGTGTTAAACCTAGGTATAGAATATATATTGGACACATTCATATTTATTGAATATACCTAATAGATTTAAGAATTGTTCATAGTTTATGTTCTTAAAAAAAAAAATGACAAGTAAGCAYATTTTGGTTTGAAATTAATAAATAGCTAGTTCATAATAATTATTATGATTATTTAGTGAATTCTGTCTATCGCATTAATGTGTCCGGAATCCTTACTGAATATTTTATGAGGGGACCTATGCATTTATTTTAGTACATTCKAATTCTTTTATTAACCTTGGGGCTTTGGGTTTTATGTGCAAACCTAAAAGTATCCCATACTTTGAAAATATCTGAATAAAGATCAATAACTAGTAAATTGCACTGTGGGTTAAATTAAAACAYTGATTTAACAGTATAGTTATCTAAATTATGCATAAAATAAATTGGTACGGGTAAGTAACCAATACATCATGGTTGGGGTATGTGGGTACACATTTGTTATTAATTATTTATATATTATGCATATTATACAAGACGTACGTATGGAAATTATAGTTTAAGTACATTAATAGTGACATTTTTAAAATTTCGCAGTTAATATTTTTTTTAATTGCAACAAAATACCAAAAACTGTTTGGGGAAACCCGTTATTTTACGAGTGAATATAAAAGGTCATACAAATTTGAAGTTCATTAAAAATATGTTTGGATTTAAGCTAGCTTTTTTTTTTTTAATTCAGTTAAATAAAMTTACGAAAAAACTTTTTTTAAAGTATTTTAACCAAGCATATATTTTTTAATCGATATTTACAGAAAAATTTAAAAGAAAATAGACAATTCTAAATGCCTATATAAAAAAAAAGTAAAAATGTATGTATAGATAATATTAATAAACACTTGGTGAACATTTAGAGTATCTGTGGTTAATCTTTTTTGAATTACAACAAAATAAAAATATCATGTTTGCCAAAATCTGATTGTTTGTAAAAATCTTAGTTTTCTCAAATACATATGAAGATATTTAAGGGAATCGTTTTACATTTGACCCCTTAAAGTACCTACCAATAAGATTCAATTTGCACCAGAAAAAAAAATTAAAGCATTTACCACTTTGAAGGTGATGATACACACACACACACAGAAAAAAAAAAATAATAATAATAAAAACATTGAGAGAAACACATCATTAAGAAACCGATTATTTTGACGTTTCACTCAAAAGTTATTACATTTGGACAATTTATTTAATTTAACACTATATTTATTATTTAAATGATAATTTGAATATATTCATTAACAATTTGGTAATTAAAATTATAGCTTTCAAAGCTCTCTATATGGTTTGACTTTAGCTTGAAACTATTATGCAATTGAATTTGAATGGACACATAACCTCAACTAAATATAAATTTTAATAATATTTTTTTTTTAATGTAATTATCTACATTCGAAGACATTTTTTAAATATATAGATAATTGATTTGTATAGGTTATTTAAAGTGTAATTGTATCAAATGAACACAATTTTTAATGGAATTTAATTAGAGATTCAAATTTTTAAATTTAATTATTGTAGCCAACAGCTAAGATTAAAAYTAATTTATAAATATTAACAAGTGATCTTCTTTATCTTAAAATAATGTGGAMAAAAATATTTGGGTAGGTAGATAAATTAATAATCTTTAATCAAATGAATTCGCGTAAAATATTATACAATAGTTATTATGCTTTATAAAGTAATAAAATTAGTAAAATTATCTATTGCTTAATTATGTATTCTTATACTGCTTATAAAAGATGTTGTAAAACTTCATTAGAAATGATAATAACTTTGTCTTTCATGATCAAAGAATAACTTTTTTATCAAAAAAGATGTTGATATTTTTGTAAAATTATAAAAAGTAATTATAAAGGAAAGAAAACGTCAAATATCCGCACAGCAGAGAAAATTGTGAGAAAATTATTTCGTATTTTTAGAATTCTCCATTTTTCCAAACAAATTAATTCCAAAATATTATTGAACAGTAGTAAGTTTTGTAATTTAAAATAACTAGGTAATAAAAAATCACGCKYACGACTTAAAAATATTACTAAACCGAGACGCTATAATGTAGTCAAACCAGGCGTATATGGTTTTAATGTATTAGAGGTATCCAACTTTAATAATAATATTATAATATTACTAAAAATTACAACTGTAATAGGTGGAGTTATAATTTAATAAATTCTACTTTTAAATTATTATTATTATTATTATCATCATTGCATTCTATAGATTTCAAAGAAATGATCATAACATATTATTTTAATAATATTTACTCGAACCGTCGTTCTTCGACGGTKGTATGGCGTCGTGGTGGATGACCGTGATCTGAGGCGTGGAACCATGCCGATAGACTGTCGGTGTGGACTGCGACTGCTGTTGCTGAAACACTTGGTTTGGTTCTCTTTTCAGAGCACCGTTGTTCTCCATCAGAAGACCACCGACACCGTTCTGTTGGTGTGACATCGTCCTCCTGGACGGCGACGTGTCCATGCCACCGCCACCGCCGGTATTACTAGAACCACGGTAGGTCTGGTTGCGTTGGTCCCAGTGCAACACAACGGTTACCCGGCCTTTGTTGTCCATTATTTTCCACGAAGGCGTCTCGTCTTGCAATTCCAGTGCGTGGATTGTTTCACAGACAATTTTTGGTATTGCGGCAATCGCTGCAACATATTGTCGTCGTTCGTTAAGTTTAGGCGTACTTTGTAGGTACTCTTTATAGGCACCTTTTTATAGGTCAAGATCAATCACCCAGCGTGTTTCTCACCCCAATTTCCCCCATTTATTAATGGTCAAATATTTTATTCGAACTTGGACTCTTGGAATTTTAAGTATACCTACGTCAGTGTCTTGTGAACGGGGTTTCGTCAATTGCGTCGCATTTGGGATACTACCTGTATAGTATACATCTATTGCGCCGGTATAAAAAAGGTATATCAAAAAGGTATACATCTATTGCGCTGGCATAAAAAA